GAATTTCGAAGATCTAATCAACACCGACTTTTAATGTGTAGTTGACCATTGTTAATGATTTGGCCCGGCACGCGCTACTTCGTAGCTCGTGCCATTTCGAGAAGAAAGCGGCGCGCGCTACTTCGAAGAAATTTAGACGAGTAACATCTGTCAAATGTGTAGGAGTACAGCAACAAAATATTTATATATTATATTGTTTTATGTTATGATATTTAATTAAAACTTTTGTATTTTTATTATAATGCAGAGGAAAATGATTTAAAATGAAAGTAAATCGACGATGTCAATTCATCGCAGCTCGGCGAGGCACAGTAACGCGTCGCGCTACAAAAAGAAAAGCTTCTAATTTAATAAAAAGTTTATGGATGAAACAATTTTTACCATTTCAAACTATTTTATTGTTTTTATTGTTTGAAATTTTTTTTGAATCAAAAATTTGATTCACGATGTCAATCCTTCGCAGCTCGGTGAGGCACAGTGGTGCATTTCGCCGATCTACCGAAGCATTATTGCGAGAAGCATTTGCATTATTGGATGCGCGCGCGCGACCCAGTAGTGCATCGCGCTACAAATCAAAAATATAATATATGGCAAAACTTGTCATACGTTGATTCACGATGTCAATCCTTCGCAGCTCGGTGAGGCACAGTGGTGCATCTCGTTACCTGAGGACCCCAGGCTATTATGTTAGATTTGGCGGAATGACAGGCTGAGCGCGGCCCAGTAATGCATCTCGCCGATCTACCGAAGGATTGATGCATAACAACAAGACACGCGCTAAAGACGCGCATTTTCTGAGTGATGTTAACGATAGCTTTAAATTCACTGATGTCATTATTATTCAGCGTGACCGGTAATAGTTTAAAAATCAGAAGGAGAAAACACATGTTTAAATTACTAAAAAAGGAGTATCACTTTACAGGATTGAATTTAAATATAGTCATAATAGATAAGAGAGGAATTTGTTTCCCTTTGAATCAATCAAACTAGATGAATTGTTGTAAATACTTAGATCAAACTATCAATCTACAGGCTATCGTCAAACATGTTGCAAGGCGTCATCTTCAGTGACATAATAGATAAAAGTTTATTAACTATCATGCCAACTTTAGAGACGGTAACCACATTAAACTAAAGTTTTCCCAATCAAAATAAAGGGTTTATACAAAATAAAAGGTTTATGCACTAGACTGCGAGACAATTAACCTTATGCAATGCAGGTTAGTATAACTATAATATCAAATAACGGAGTAGTTCGCTGTTTATTAGTCTCATGATTGAAATACTGATATCTGGATATTATCCGGTTGGAAGAGACAAGGACAAGTGAAACAAGGAAGTTAGGAGTAAGGGCAAATTTTCGGCGTCAACGCCATCTTCAGGCTCAAATTATTTGTTATATAGTAGTGTTGAAAGTATTAAAACTTTCAACACTACTATATAACAAATTACAACTGATTATATTTATGGATTTCGGCCTGTCGATGCTGGAAGCTGATCAGCTAATCGTTAATCGTTACCATGTGACAAGAATAGTATGATGAACCTCCCAATCAGTATCTATGTATCAAAAGAAAATATTGATCTAATTCAACTCGTCGGGAGCCCTTTTGAAACATCTCGAAGTTAGAGTGCAGAGTGCATGATTACTGATTATCAGCACGATTGGGTGAAACAAAGACGAAACCGTGTGTTGATTAGAATTAAAAGAGGAAGATATTTAGTGATAAATTGTGCACTCTTGCATTTAAGTTTTAATTGTTAGACTTGTTCGATGTAGGGCCTTTAATTTAACCTAATACTAATGCAGTTACTTAATACTTGGTAAGTCTAGGGAAAACAGGTGCTAGTTGTCGGAAATGAAATGGAGTCTGTTCCTGATCGAAGTTACACGATGCTGATAGATTTGATGCAGCTCAGCACTCAGCAGCCACTGTCTTCAAATAGAGTGTTCCAGTTCTGCAATCTGCAGTCTCAAATGTTTTCGCCCAGCTTTTCTTTTCATCGTGGTCATAGAAGACAGACCTGAAGAAATACTAGTATAATGATAATATAGGTAACATGTCCAGAATGAGTAAAATTGTATTATCGGCAAATTTACTTATGTGAAAACTTCCAACAGGGTGGCGCTGGCCCAGAAGTAACTGCACACAAGCTGTTATTACTGTTCACACCTTTCTCTCTCTTTCGTGACAGAATACTTCTAACCGTGTTTACCTTTTCTAGCAATGACAAGCAAAGAAGGATAACCGATTGGACTGGGGAGGAGTGGAACATTGGCAGCACACTACCGTCCAATCGGTTTTGTACATACGACAAATACGGGTTTTATTGGTCATCTAAAGGTCATCTAACAGTGATAGCAGGAAGTCGGAAAACGTTCTACGCAACGACCTGACAGTGGCACTTTGTTTGTGTGTTATTTAGACTATAATTTAGAGACTAATTGAGAGACAGTTTTAGAGTTTTTTGAGTCGAACTATAACTATGAGTCTTCGTGAGATACCAGTTTTAGACAACAGCGCTGACTACAGCACATGGAAGAAGAAAGTGCTAATATGGCAACTTGGCACCGCAGCATCAACGAAACAGCAAGCTAGTAAGCTGATTATGAACATGAAAGGTAGACCACAGGAGGTCTCTATTAACATGACATTAGAGGTGGAGGGGGCAGAAGATGGAGTTGTTAAACTCATTGCCAAACTGGACAAACTGTAGGACAGTACCCAGTCTTTATTTAAGGCAATAGATGATTTTGAGGGATACAGGAGAGGAGATGGAGAAGATATAGACAACTCAGGTATGTTGTTTTATATGCCACCAACCAGGTCACATGGTTGCTCAGTGTTCATTCAACACATTCTCACGAGATCAAAGACAAGAGGGTGGGTTTCCCGGATCTGAGGATGCTGACCTTGGAAATACGGAATGATCGAGAGAGCTGGCAATACATAAAAACCTTTGTTCAGAGTAGATTTGGAAAAGTATCTTGATTGAGAAACAATAAGGCAATCAAATGAATGTTTTGTGTCGTTAAATGTATGAGTCAAGAGCGTTGAGTCAATCAAAAGTCAATGTTTCTATTTTAGGAATTGTGAGTTTATTCAGTTTTATGTTTTGTAATTTGTTATGTGTCGTGTTTTAAGTTTTTATCGCAATTTCCTGTCGGATTCTATGATACTAAATATAGAAATGAGTCTAATATTTATTATAAGATCAATTATGTCTGTTTATAAGAAATAAGAGTAATATTCAGTATGTATATCCAGTTCCATGATTCGTAGAATCGTGTTTTAGTCGTTTTTACGAGTTAATTGCTGAGCAATGTCAGGAGTATTATATATTATTTCGTCTCGTCAGTTTTTATTTTGAGTTTGTATATTTCATTTTAATTTGCAAAAGAATGTGGTCGCAGGTAAACATAATAATATATCTGCGTATATAATATGTTTGTAGCTAATTTAGGGAGCTAATCTACTTTGCTGAGTTGTTCTTTTAGTATTTATCTCAAATATTTACTCGTTTTATGGGGACGCTTTTAGTTTTTGAGCTAGATATTATAACATCTCGGTGAGTTATTTTTTTTGAGAACAAAGGAATTTCTGTGTTGCTAGTCATTTTTGAGCTCGTAGGTGTAGAAAGTACTTATAGTGTTAGCATTTGAAAATGCGCGCGCGCGCGGCATTTATATTTTAGCGGGGTTTTAAAGAGATTTTAATATGACTTGTTATGTTTTTCTCTGTAATAAGTTCCGAACAGTTTCGTCTCGATAGGTCACTCAAGGTGATAATCTGAAGACATCTGATGCTCCAACGGGGTTGTTGAGCGTATTTATGATTTATGTGTATTATCAAAATGTTTGACAGTTTCGTCTTGATAGGTCACTGCGGGTGATAATCTAAAGACAGCTGCAGCTCCAACGGGGTTTTGTTGAGCGTATTTGTGGGTACAAGTTTATTGTTTGGTAGATTTGTCCAGATAGGTCACTGCGGGTGATAATCTGAAGACAGCTGTAGCTCCAACAGGGTTGTTGAGCGTATTTGTGGGTACAAGTTTATTGTTTGATAGATTCGTCCAGATAGGTCACTGCGGGTGATAATCTGAAGACAGCTGTAGCTCCAACAGGGTTGTTGAGCGTATTTAATTATTTGATGGATTCGTCCAGATAGGTCACTGCGGGTGATAATCTGAAGACAGCTATAACCCAAACGGGGTTGTTGACTGTATTTTAATTATATAATGGATTCGTCCAGATAGGTCACTGCGGGTGATAATCTGAAGACAGCTATAACTCAAACGGGGTTGTTGACTGTATTTTAATTATTTAATGGATCCGTCCAGATAGGTCACTGCGGGTGATAATCTGAAGACAGCTATAACTCAAACGGGGTTGTTGACTGTATTTTAATTATTTAATGGATCCGTCCAGATAGGTCACTGCGGGTGATAATCTGAAGACAGCTATAACTCAAACGGGGTTGTTGACTGTATTTTAATTATTTAATGGATCCGTCCAGATAGGTCACTGCGGGTGATAATCTGAAGACAGCTATAACTCAAACGGGGTTGTTGACTGTATTTTAATTATTTTATGGATTCGTCCAGATAGGTCACTGCGGGTGATAATCTGACGACAGCTGTAGCTCAGACGGGATCTTCGAGCGTATTTTTGTGTAATTTAATAGTGCAATCTTGAGAGAAATTGGGGCTAGCATTGCTGGAAAAGAAAAACCGGGGAATGTTATTACTGTTCACACCTTTCTCTCTCTTTCGTGACAGAATACTTCTAACCGTGTTTACCTTTTCTAGCAATGACAAGCAAAGAAGGATAACCGATTGGACTGGGGAGGAGTGGAACATTGGCAGCACACTACCGTCCAATCGGTTTTGTACATACGACAAATACGGGTTTTATTGGTCATCTAAAGGTCATCTAACAGTTTAATGATCACGCACGTAATTTGTGTGAAAATATGTAACTCATTTAACGAAGTCAGTGAAAAGAACCTACCTTTATTTACCAATGTCGATTTTTTGCTTGTGATGAAGTAGTCCTCGCAAATGTGAGATATGTATGTAGTTTGTTTTTAAAAGTAGGATTGTAGTCATAGTCGATGTATAGCGACGGTAGTTTACCAGCAGCTCCCTGTACAAATAGAAATGTGGTTTTTATATAATATTACTAGTTAAATTAATGAGTACAATGCAGGAATAAAAAAATGTGTCTTAAATGTTTTATATTAAATGTGTTATAATTATATTAACCACCTTATATTCGTATAATATGTACTCACAAACAATGATAGTCCCAACTGTTTTTAATTGCTTATAATTTAAACCTTCTTATTAAATAATTTAGATGACTGTGTCTGATCTAAAATTGCACGAGAAATAGAGAAAATTAGGTCTCAGACAGAACTCGACCGGGATATAACCGGCGCAGCCGGAATACCGGCTGGTATTTGGCGATTTTGTACCGGTACCGGCCGGGATTTTGGTTTTAGCCGGGATTTTTCCAAAATAAATTCAGTTTTTCTCAACGTTAATTTGAGTCCAAAATTAACAAATCTGTGAACATTTTCCTAAAACATTTTGACGAAGTCATTGAACAATGGAGACTGGAGTCAATCTATATTTAACATAATCATGGGTGTACGAATTATGGACTTCTTTCTGACTTATGACTTAATTATTGTGACTAAGTGTCACGGCTCACGGTCTTGTGTTACCGAGGGACAAGTAAAACAGAGTTCTCCGGGTAAAGAAAGCATTAATAAATGCTATTCAGTATTCATCCTATTCAATTATTCAGGTAAGGTGATGTAAACTGTAAAGTGATAAGCTCCAACGTCAAACACCATGTTCAATTAAATAAGTTTAAGTAACCAATACCAGATCACAGGATTGTTATAGTTACGGAGACTGTTGGAAACGATGCAAACCAGGATCGGACTCCTATCAGAAATAGTCAACCACCGGTCCAGCCTCCCTCAAACTCAAATGCCCTACCACTACCCCAGACCACATCCACCTCTTCAGCCAGGAACAGCGCTCCCACTATACCACTACCAGCAGTTCCTACCGCCTCAGAGGATACACTGCACGTGCCCGTTATTCCTCATGCCTCGTCTTAAATGTCCAGTCCATGAATCCTAGTGCATCAAGTGCGAGTATATGGGAAGTGCCAAAAATCTCAGCTCTTATTCAGGAGAAATCCAAAAACCACTCGTTACCGTTTATTGCACTTACGGAAACGTGGCTCAAGTCCTACATGTCAGACAAATACAAAATGTGCATCACCTCTTTCTCCTGCTGAGCAGAACCTCCCCCTTAAAAGTAAACAAATCTGCATCGCCTCCCAACGACAATCCAGATATATTAAGCAGCAGAGACAATCATTTAAGGAGACTTCGATATCTATCAGGATCATGATTATACTGCCTGAGAACTCAGCACTTCAGGATGAAACATATAATATTTGGTTTTCTCGATTTCATTCATATTTAGACAGAAGTCCGTGTAGATAATTGGTTATAGAATAATTGGATATAATTTTATGCGAAGTTGTGTCTGCGAAAATATACGTGTGAACTGGTCATCCCGCAAATGCTGAAAAAGTAGATGTTACTTATCATAAAATAACCGCTCGCACCGTACAGTGTACACGACAGAGTTGTGACTGCGTTTACAAATTCTTTATCATATTGATGTGTTGCCATGGCAACCGAAACTCCATCGGAAGATCGGCCTGTAAGGCATAATCATGATAATACACAGTATCAAAACATTGCCATTGATATCATAGCAACATTCCAGAGATTAGATTATGTGTGTGTAAGAAAATGTATGTTATAGTATTATACAGTCTGCTAGAACATTCCGTTTACACATGGTGGCCGATAACAACTTGTTTAATTTATCTCCGAATTACACACAAATTTCTGAAAGTTTCGTAGACTTAAATCAATTACAGAGGGTGTGGCTATTGGCCAGCCCCTCTATTTCACTATTATGGTTGAAACTATAAGAATACAGATTATATTGATACAGTGATTTTACAAAAGTCGAAACAGTAAACACCAATTTGTAGGATACTTTAAATCACACCAAAATTGGTCCCAGAATGCAATGAAATCTGATGGCGTCTTTTCAGTGAAAAAGAGGCCACACTCTCTGTAATTGATTAAAGTTTAAGAGACCTTTAGAAAATGAGTTATATAACTTGCAACTTAAACTAAGATAAATTGAGTATTTATACTCAATTTATCTTAGTTGCATGAGTAATATATATATACTACCCACTATACCACTACCAGCAGTTCCTACCGCCTCAGAGGATACACTGCACGTGCCCGTTATTCCTCATGCCTCGTCTTAAATGTCCAGTCCATGAATCCTAGTGCATCAAGTGCGAGTATATGGGAAGTGCCAAAAATCTCAGCTCTTATTCTGGAGAAATCCAAAAACCACTCGTTACCGTTTATTGCACTTACGGAAACGTGGCTCAAGTCCTACATGTCAGACAAATACAAAATGTGCATCACCTCTTTCTCCTGCTGAGCAGAACCTCCCCCTTAAAAGTAAACAAATCTGCATCGCCTCCCAACGACAATCCAGATATATTAAGCAGCAGAGACAATCATTTAAGGAGACTTCGATATCTATCAGGATCATGATTTTACTGCCTGAGAACTCAGCACTTCAGGATGAAACATATAATATTTGGTTTTCTCGATTTCATTCATATTTAGACAGAAGTCCGTGTAGATAATTGGTTATAGAATAATTGGATATAATTTTATGCGAAGTTGTGTCTGCGAAAATATACGTGTGAACTGGTCATCCCGCAAATGCTGAAAAAGTAGATGTTACCTATCATAAAATAACCGCTCGCACCGTACAGTGTACACGACAGAGTTGTGACTGCGTTTACAAATTCTTTATCATATTGATGTGTTGCCATGGCAACCGAAACTCCATCGGAAGATCGGCCTGTAAGGCATAATCATGATAATACACAGTATCAAAACATTGCCATTGATATCATAGCAACATTCCAGAGATTAGATTATGTGTGTGTAAGAAAATGTATGTTATAGTATTATACAGTCTGCTAGAACATTCCGTTTACACATGGTGGCCGATAACAACTTGTTTTATTTATCTCCGAATTACACACAAATTTCTGAAAGTTTCGTAGACTTAAATCAATTACAGAGGGTGTGGCTATTGGCCAGCCCCTCTATTTCACTATTATGGTTGAAACTATAAGAATACAGATTATATTGTTACAGTGATTTTACAAAAGTCGAAACAGTAAACACCAATTTGTAGGATACTTTAAATCACACCAAAATTGGTCCCAGAATGCAATGAAATCTGATGGCGTCTTTTCAGTGAAAAAGAGGCCACACTCTCTGTAATTGATTAAAGTTTACGAGACCTTTAGAAAATGAGTTATATAACTTGCAACTTAAACTAAGATAAATTGAGTATTTATACTCAATTTATCTTAGTTGCATGAGTAATATATATATACTCTCATTTTTTTAGAGCAAACGTAATTTAAATGGCTAAACACAATTCAATAAAATTTGGCTCGATCCGATTATCCAAACTATCAAATAAATGCGAAAATGAACCTTCTTTTGAAAACAATGAACACAAATATGTTTCGATTTGACAAATTTCTCGAACCAGTGGTGGTAGTAAGTCATACCAGAACCAATTATTTCAATTGGGCACTCAGTGACTGAGCTATTAATGCCAACGTTTGCACACTGACTTTTGGCCCACCCTGTATATTTATAATATACGGCTGGAAAAAATGTAACTGGATATCTGCCACAATGCTGCTATTATTAAGGTTAAAGTAACATTTAGCACATAAAGAAGTCTGGTTTGCTAGGTTTTAATTGGTCGTATAATAACAAATAAAAATGAGTTAAGACTACAAAAACGGTCGATAGAACCTAATTATAATACCTGTATCGAGAACTCGACTTCAATGCACTGATAGCGTTGGTACTAACATTCTATCAAATTATGTCATATCTTGAGACTTGATAGCTGCCTGAAACAGTTTTGAGTCAACATTATCGTGATATTCTAGAAATTGAAACCAATTCTCAACTTTAAAAAAGCAGGTTTCAATAAATGCCATAGAATTAAATTCTATCTTTTTAAATTTTAAGAATTTGTTGATTTATTAAAATTCTGTCTCAATTAATATATAAGGGTACATGCAATGTATTTCGACACGCACTGTAGACTCACTTATTGGATTCGTGCTAGATGCTGTGTACGTCACCCTCTTAACCACCTCTATGGCGAAGATGAGGATGGTAAGTGCAAGTACAGTAATGTGAGGAGAGGATGGGTATCATTTAGCACATTTTTGCTGTAGGTGTAAAGTAGCTCTTAGTCAAGGAGTATATAAATGACGGCACGACAAGGTTCTGCAACAGATCTCTGAACATGTTATCTTGTGAGCGCCGAGTGAACACTTATAAGAACAAGGCCAGCGATGTAAGACAGTATCATTGACTTAGTCCATGCTGGGAGGAAAAAAGCAAGTACAGACGACCGAAAGGAGTCGTGGTTTGGGATCCTGAGTGGGTCTCGATATTGGATAGTGCTTTTATATATCGGACCTTATGATATTCTCAAGGTCACCAAGACGGCACAGTCTTATGGCGGGAGGTAACGGTACCATCTAAAGAGCAGATTGCTGAATCATACAAGTAAAAACTCTACCGGTACAGCAGTCTTACAGCAGACAGAGATTCAAGCGAAAGAATTGTGCTGTTATAATTATGCGGTTAAAGTTCTAGCACCGGGAGTAGTTGTTCACGGTTTGGAGAGAGCTGAGTAGGCTAGTACGGGATAGAAGGGAAGAAGCAGCTCACTGTTCCAGATGGATCTACTTCTGATCAAGGAAGAAGGAGTGGTAGGTATAGTAAGGAAGATTGGAGCCTAAGAGTTAACTTAACATCTAGAGGTACCACAAACTTTATCTCGTCGCCAATTGCGAGCTTTAACGGGTTTCCTCAAGTGACTCGATGGTTTAATTGTGACAAATCATGATACGAACTTTGATGAACCCATAATAGTATAGTGCAATAATACTATGATAGTATTCTCATAAGTTCTACCCTTGCAACCGAGTACAATGTACATACTAAGTGATATCAAGCTGCAATCTAAAATTTATTAATTGAATCTCAAAATAACTTCAAATTTTACCTAATAATTGCGACATCGTTGGAAGTGAGAAATAAAATACATTAAATTTTAATCCAATTCTGCGAGAGAAGATTTGCCCAGACAGCTGACAAGAATGTATTACCATACTTCCTGTAAATGTGGTAGTTATTAGGTCATATCAAACTTGAAAATTATGTCAAAGTTTTTCTCAGTCTCTGGTGTCAATCACCAGTAGAGTGCCCAGCCGCACCAAAACAACCTGCGATTTTTACGTGGGAAACATCGTATAATACACATGCTATACACTCTAGTTTTATAGCAGCTACTGATATCATGCGGCAGTATTAATAAGCATACAAATTCAGCGCAAAAAATTGTAAAGACGACACAAATTCATGCGGGATGTTAATAAATGTGTCCATGTTGAACTCAAACTCCGACAGAATAATATTTCAAATCGGATATATTATAATTAATCAAATGGTATCTGCTCATGTTCCGTCTATATAAACTACAAAACTTAATAAATTAGTGAAGTTCTGAAACAAAGATCACGACTAGGTTTTATCAAAATTGAAAAGAAAACCGATCGAAGTGCACTAGAGATATAGTTTAAGTTTAAAGGGTCATCATTACTAAAATCTCTTCCTAGCTCCTAGCAATCAAGTTGTTAATCCTAGTTCTACACCTAAACAAGTACAAAATTACAGCCTTACATTTTGAAATTTTTCGATATCCAGCTCAACATAAGACTTCGATACCAATAATGCATAATGGGTACATACCGATGATCGGTGTTCGTAAATATTTGATTATTTATAGTATTGAAGTTTAAAATCTTCCTAATTATGTAAGAATAACAAAAGGAATCACGTACTAGTGTGCTGTTACGAAAAACAACTATTTAATAAAAATAAATTAACAGTATTCGAGTACAAAATTAAAAATACAAACTCCAACATAATCGACAGACAAACTCAATAAATGAAGATTTCGTCGTGAAACGAGCTATATATACAGCTATAACGTAGCGCTCGACTCCAGTCTGAACCAAAATTAAGTCGCGTTCGTAGGAAATTGACCACCAGCTGCTGGTGGTTCGAATGTTGGTTTGCACACTACTGTGGTTGCGAGAAGCATTATTTGATGCGCGCGCGACCCAGTAGTGCATCGCGCTACAAGTCATACGTTGTATGACCCGCCGCGCACGAGTGCGTAAGAACGATAAAGGGAAAACGACCACTTAGTGAAAAAAAGCTGTTTCCTAAATTTTGTTTTAATATACTGTATTTTTATTTGATTGCATACTTAAATTTTTTATAATTTTGACCGAAAATCTAAACTAAATTGTTGACGCGCCGCGCATATTTTACCGTTTTATAAATTTTTATAAAAATCGAGCGCTAAATCAAAATTTGTTTTATTTTCACACAATTCACTTACCAATATTCCTTTTCACTGTTTTACATTTGAACACATTTTCCGGTCATATTTGATTGCTGCTTAGTTGTTAATGGTCTCGCCTGATTTCGAATTATGTCTTCAATTATCATTCGTGATTACGGGTCCTGATAAATAATATTGAAATATTTTCATTTTCCATACTATTTTAAAGTACCGTTTTTCCTGTCAAAATCTAATACAAGCGAGTAACATTCTTAAAAGAAAATGTATGCCATCACCCAAAAAAGTTGGGACACCCAATCCATGTAGTATATAGCTGAGACACCTCACAGCAAACAGAGAAAAGTGGCTCTTGCTTTTAAAAGGTGGATCAACTATCCGCTGAAGAAGTGGATGTGATTGAAGGATTTGGTATGCGGTCCGGGATACTGGGCTGTTGATCTTCCTCTGTTTCCTCTCAGTGCAATAAGTGTTCTTCGTAGCAGCTTAAACCTGAATCGTGGTCAGCCATCGTCTTAGACATACGATCTACAAACACAGTGCAGAGCGGTCCCACAACTCCAGATGTTGTGATGACTAGTGGGACAAAAGATCCTGTCTCAAACTGAAGTACTCTTCCTTCCCATGGTCACTGTTGATCTTATTTAGTGGCTTATTGGGTCACGATTAATATGTGTGACCCTGACGTCAAAGAATGTTCTTGCTTCATTCTTAGGGAAACATGAAGTTAAAAGGACCTTTCCATTTCTCTTGACGTCCATATTTCTTCTCCTGCTAGGAGAAGCACTTGTTACAGTTGGACTACTTATTGAAGACTGGTAATTGTGGCTCGGATATTTGTCTCTATGTTTTGCTGTCTGTGATTTTAACCCTATTATTCCAGACGAATGGACTAGGACTCCTGCAAAAGATTTTGCCATTCCCTGATCCTACATCCCGCACTTGTTGTCGTTCAATCTATCAACAGAGTAGCTAACAGACTGAATTTGCTGCACTATTACCACGCAATCAGTAATTTTAGACGAGTGCTGGACTGCACTATTTCACAGCTTGTAGAATCATCTTAAAATGATAATTTCAAATACTTTTTGTGGCCGAAAAACCTGCTATATCAACCTTATTTCTTCAAAAAGTTTAACAATTGTCTTCACCAAAAGTATGGACAGTAATGTACACACAGGCGGTGCAAAGCACTTCCCAAATAAAGACGGACAAAATCAGCCTGATGTTTCCAAGGTTAGGTTCACATCCATGATTTTGTGTTATATTATTAATTCATTTTCTTTTCTCAAAAAATTGTCTTTTCTCATTCATTTTGAAATAAGTTGATAATATCAGAAATTATTGATCTAACAGCTACAGTTAGTAATTATTCAAATTACGATATATTGATGAAAATTATTTCCAGGGGAAGCGAAGAGTTGGAGTTATTCCCACTATTCAAGAAATCCATGGAGATGTTCTAACAACCCTTGCTAATCAATACTGGGCACCACATTCAAAACTTCCTAAAAATAAATTTTCAGAAAAAATTATCGAAAGGATCTATTACAAAGAAATTGGACACAGGTTTGTGCCAAAACTAGTAATCAGACTTGACTTTTGAATCCTTATTCTTCAAGATGAGCACACATCTGGGGAATTTATCAGGATAAGAAAAATCACAAATAAGTTATCAATTGAAAATTCCCAGTATAATTATTGTACAAGCATTGTTTTGTTATTTTACAAACATTTATTTTTTTTACCTCAGGTTTCCCATCCGACGAATCATGTTGTTAGAGTTCAGTCAGTACCTAGAACTGTACCTGTGGCCTAACTTCAACCCTGGCCGTCTATCACCCGCATACATCATGAGTATAGTGATGATAATCAACGAGAAGTTCAGGCAGAAGGTCCCTGTGTGGAAAGTATTTCGTGATCACCCAGTCCAGGTACAATCTTTACCATATTATATTTACCAAATAATTTAACTTTATTTATTTGTATCCTTGAACTGTTGTTGAATGTTGCTGTTAATCAGAATAGGTTGTATAAAATTAATACGGTTTTAACAGAAATATTTATGTTATAAATCATAAATTGTTTATATTTGTCAATTGACCGTTATAACAACCTTGAATTAATATTCAATATATCCAATTAGGTACCGCTGTTTTTCCATGCTGTAAAAGAGGCGATAAAGGAATTTAACGATCAGTTCAGTCTCAAGGAGCAGACTGTACTGCTGATATTCCTGATCCACTGTTACAACAGCTTGGTGAGTGTAATTTGAGATTAAAGTAGCTTAAATAAATCATGTTGTTAAATGCGAATGATAGATACCATGTCAACGACGTGTTGATGGATGCCATTTCAACAACGTTTGTATAGAATGTGCATATTTTGATAATCATCATAAAATGTATGCTAGTTGCAATCAATTTGACATGTTTTATTTCCAGGAAGAAGACATTGTACGCACACATATTCAGCATACAGTTAGTCTTGGTATTTGGAGATGCATTCTCCCCTCCAAACTTCAAAGTCTACTCGGTAAGCTGGCTTCAGTTATAGCAATTTAGTAGTCTCGGATAAGACATTTTTCTATATTGACAGAATTTGAGCATCCTTTAGCGACAAAACTGAAGCGAGTCAGCTCACTACAAAACATTCCTTTGTTCAGAAAAGAATCCGCGTCTAAACAAACGGTGGAATAACCTCCAAAAGAGGGAACAGAAGCTGGGTGCGCGCGAGCGTGGACTACGCGAAAATGATTACAATTTCCTTCAAAAACTCATACACAAGTACTTTGCTGTTCTCGAGGAGATCCCCGCTGAAGGCTTCATCACGATGGAAGAGGTTTGTGAGATCAAGTGTTAAAATTCAAGTGCGATTTCTGTCATTCCTATCATGGTTATATAATATATAATGCCTAATCGAAACCAGTGCAGTTTTGATAATATCAAATTATCTCCAAACTCATATTATCTAAAAAAATGTCACCCTCATCATTATGTCAGGTAAATTTCGCGGAGAGATTTCTGGAGCTGTGTATAGACCTCCAAGCGCAACTGCCTACACGGCGCTTCTTCAACACTCTCCTCCTTGACACGCACATCATAGTGCGCTCTGCACAAAGCACTCTGGCGCACCGAGAACAGGAAGGGCACCTGTTTTGTGAGCTTCTCAAGATGGTCAAATTTTACTCCAAGTACGTTTGTTAAAACGGTATTTGAGCATCTTTACAATGCAAATGTGATGGCAGATCCATGTTTGGTAATGTAGATATTTGTCTTCATTGATAGAATTGATTACTGTGCGATGTTCAACTAATTTTTGTAATCCCCACTTGGAGGGTAGGAAATCGCTGCGGTAAATCAAGGTTCATTAAAGTAATCTACCAAAATTCAAGGTTCGAAATAGACGATCTAGAAGGGAACCCGCTTACAGAGACTCAGATGTTAAGCCAGCATTACGATCAAGTTCTCTCTTTACAGAAACAGTGCTTCGCTCACTTTAAGGTTAGCTCTTGTAACTGTGTAAAAACTAGCCACATGACTGTTGTTCCATTTGTTCTTTAGTGGAGATTCTGGGTTAATTTTGGAAATCAATAAAGAAATTATATTGCGAACACTGAAAAGATGGTGGATGTGGTATATCGTGACACTTTTCTGCAGTAAAGTTTACAGAGAAATTTGTGATTTTCTGTGGTCTAAACAAATGTTCATATTTCAAAAACAAACAGCACTTTAAAACAAAACAAAGTCAAAAACATCTCGTACCAACCATTCCTACTTTACTCATATTTCAACCACAAAAAATGCTGCTGTTTCTCGTAACTTGTTTGCTGTTCGTTCCAACAGTACTTAGTGCATATTGTATTGATCAAACGAGGTTCAAAATTGGTGATAAACCATGTGATGAGCTAGTAGAGTCGCTTGGAGATGATATAGATGATCTGAATACAATGTGTGCTGAGAAGGCTATCAGTAAGACATGCCGTTGGTCCTGCCATTCTTGCAGAATAAACCCCTCAGCCACAAAGCGCACGTCATTGAATTTTCATAACCATCTTCGCAAAAATCACCGGGCAAGAAAACTGAACTGGGACGTAGATCTCGAAAACTCAGCTACACAACAATGCAGAAAACTAGCCGGATTGGAGTGGATAGAGAACCAGATCTTGCCTAACGCGGGTAAAAATACCTTCCACGGTGCCAACATTCGACAATATTCGCGCATCGCACTGTACGCGGCACGACAATGGTACAAGGAGGAGAAGTTGTACAACTACAAGGAGCATGTGTATCAGACGGCAACGGCCAAGTTTACCCGCATGGTGTGGAAAGGAGTGACCCATGTTGGGTGCGGGTATGCAAAGTCTCAGGAATTCAGCAAGGCTAAAGGTGTGACCAACCA